ATCGCCCGACTCATAAACGATACATGCAAATACGCATGCATGTTCCTCATAATAACTAATAAATTGTGCAATTTACCACGCTGGGTCGTCCATTACCTCTCTGTGCGCCCTCGTTCCGTGCACGTGCACAAAGTGATCGTGTCGTGATCGTCTCTGCGCGGAGTTGGCGGCGTCAAAGCGGCGGAAAACTTGTCCTTCGGGGGGAAAAGTTGAAACCGGTGCACCGTTTCTTATCCTCTCTTCTCTCTCTCTCTCTCTCTTTTTTCTTCAAAACCACCATTCTCGATTCGGCCACGTGACGGCTTTGCTAAATTAAACAGCTCGATTGCCAGCCAGTTGTGGCATCGGGTATTGCGATTGTATTAAATTAGGAAGAAAATTGCGATTTTAATGCGGCGATTCGAGGAATGAGGCTGAGATTCTTGATTTCGTTTCGTTTATGTTTCTTAATTCTAGAAACTGATGGAATAAAAAGTGTGTCGTGCAACGTATTGATTTGATCTGTGGAAATGATCGGAAGAGTTCAATTCGGTTCTGTGAAATATAATTACACGGTCTCGAAAGATCAATTCGATTCTGATTAATTCTCGCGTCTTTACAACCTTGTCTTGAAGATACAATCGAATGAGATTACCGAGATTAAGAAGAGGGTCGGTTGGCTATTTTGCAGAAATAATCATGACGGAGGAGTATGTTTGATTGATTTGAAGAGACGAGGGGATTTTTGGAGTGTTGCAAACAAAGATGTTACAAAATTAGTCAAATTCGGAATTTAATTTTGTCTGGGCGGATAGAAGTACGTTTCGAGTGTTCCCACGCGGAGCATGCAACGCGGTGAGGTTGATTGGTTCGGTGGTTCGGTCGTGAGTTTACGAGAGTTGGCTCCAGGTATGAAATTATACTGGTGACGTAATTATGAACTCTCGTACGAGCGTGTCGTTCGAAAATGACGCTTGACCCGTTAGATTCCCATCATTTATGCGAATCGAGTCGATGTAATTATACGATTACATCGGTCGAAGTTAGCTACGTAGTTCAAGTGACCAAACATCCTATCGTTATTTACGTAAAATCAAAATTGCAAAATTATTTAGATTCATCGACATTGTAGGGCGTAGAAAAAAAAAATTAATAGAAAATTCAACGTAGCTGTGTATAAAGTAACGAAAAAAACCTTTTTTCATAAGTATATTTAAAAAAATCAATAATATAAAAGGATAAAATATATTTGGATCTAACGTTTCTTCGAAGGTACGTACTGACATCGTAAAATCTCGCTTATAATTTCATTTCAAAAGAAACTATACGTTTACGCAGTGAAGTTCACGATCAGTTTTCTAACTTGATATACGCGAGGAACTATTTTTAAATTCGAGTCGCAATACATTTCTCGTGAAAATCGCGATTAAGAATAGAAAACCCATCTCGTTGCTCGCTCGATGATCGTTTCGCTCGAATTCTCGTCTTTCTTTCCCTCCCCCAAGTAATCCCAGTAATCCTCCCTCATCGATTTTACGTCCATCTTCGAACTACAACATCTTCCTTCATTCCCAGAGATGATATTTCAAAAATTCTATATCCGGTACACGCGTTTTCGATCCTGTTAAAAGCTCGAACAATATTTTGTTCAAAATGGAAATGAAACGGCGGAGCCGCGATAAAATTGATTTTTCCCCTTAATCGAGTGAAACTGTCGGCTTATCGGTTTTTTTTTTTTTTTCGTTTTCCCAGCAACGAGCGACGAGCTTCGCTCACGTTTTTTCCCGCTTCGCGCTAATCTCGTTTCTGCCGCGAGTTCCACTCGCTCCGCTATTGAATCGTGCGTCAATCTTAAGACGAGACGAGATTTTCCACCGACCGAATCGTTTCTCGTCAAATTTTCTCATAATTTTCCCGTTTGATTGAAAAAAGAATTTTGCCTTCGTCGTTGGGGCGTTGGCGGGAATCCGGAGATCTGGAATTAAGTCGAATCGAAAATTTGTGCTGGAATCGAGTCGAATTCCAGCCCGGGGAAGAACACCTCGTGGATTCGAGAACGTTGAACTCGTTGAGAATTTTATTATGCAGGATTCTTAAAACGTCTGAAAGATCGAGAATCCGAAACCATAGCGGTATTCAATAAAGCTAGTCTTGGAGGATCGTTCGAGTTCTCGAAATTCTTTGAGATCCCGGCATTCTTGAGTCACGAGATTGCTTTCGGCAATCCGATCTCTTCCTGACCCGATCCTAAAGTATCGAGTTCCCGACATTTTCGGATCCTTTCGCGCCATGGAAAACTTTGCTCTTCGTGAAACGCGAACGATTTGGCCGTCTTAACGCTTAATCAAAACCGTTTAAACATTCGATTAATCAATTTCATTCAGACGAGAAGAACATGAAACATGAAATGGATTTCTTTTATAAAGAAAAAAAAAAAAAACGGAAGATTTTAACTTTATGTTTTATCTATCATAATACTTGTAATTTTTAATCTAATTTTTTTCTACGTTCAAAATTTCATAAATATCCCCGTGTCCAGACACGAAACATTGTCTTAAGACGATAAAACGAGTTACACGAATGAAATCATTCTATCTATTCGTACGTGATCGCGCTCAGTCGTCACTTGCACAAAGTACAATTACGCGAACGTTTGACTATCGACGTTAAATAGCCACGCTCCATTTTCCGACGTGCGTTGCATCAAGAACACGTAACGCTTGTGCGGCCAATCCTGCAATGCCTCTTTATATTGCTCACGTGCTGTAGAATGTGTTCGAATCAACGCTCGTTTAATCCTAGCCAGCCTTAAATCTATCATGCCATTGTACCGTAATAATCTTCCGTCCAGACGATGGATACCAACACGGCGGAACTCGGTATTCATCGCCAATTGCTTATTCCCCGTATCGATTCACTTACTTACTTCCGATCTATTTCTATTTTATCCGCACACGTCTGGTCGAGCGAGATTTTTCCTCGAAATTTCGCAGGGTAAAATAATACCAAGTATTTTTGCTCCAACTTGAAACACCTCGAAGCGTTCCAATTTAAAATTGTTAAAATATAGGTGATAAAAATATGGAAGGAGAGATATAAAAAGAAAAAAGAGAAACTCGAAGATTCATGGAACGGTAAGTCGTTTACGACGTATAAATTATCTTCGTTTCCAAGTATGATGGGCAAAGTTGCCGTTTTTTTTTTATTATCGAGATTTGCAAACTTTCACGTCGACCCTCCCCCCGTTCGATCTACCTCCTGTCCAATACTATTCCCATTAAACTTACCATATTACGACAGAGACACGGAATGTTAATCCATAACCAATCGGAAAAACCATTTCTATTTCCCGGAAATACGAATATTCGCCAATCGCAACCTACGCCAATCGTCTCCGTTCTCGGTCTGGCTCGGAGAGATCGTTCCTTAGATCGCGTTAAGAGTAACACGAGCGTCGATTGAAATTGACATCCATTTGTCAAGAGCCGTCTAGTCGGTGCTCGGCACTCGCCAGGATCGTAGGGTTCGTGAAATCTACTCTTCGACTCATCTCATCGTCGTTTACCTTCGACAACGTTTTGCCAAGTGGTTGTTAACTCGAGAAACCGTCACCGATCGCCGGGTTGTTCGACAATGGTTGGTGCGATTAAACGATCGAAACGATCGCGAAATTCGTGAAACCGAACGAATGAAAACGATTGAAGTCGCGGAGCGAGGTTTTGACGAAGCGCGAAAAAGAGCGGAGCGGAGTGAGAGCGATTAGATTATTTATCGCGCTGGCACAGCAACTTCTCCATCCTCGGATAAAGGAAGAAAACGTCGTGGCCGAGTATGGCGAAGGTGAAGACACCCATTTTCACTCGAGCTTGAATACATTTGCGACATGCCTGATCACAGTTCGATATTTCATTGTGGCGTTCGCGATACTTGCAAACTTTGTTATCGATCGAGCACTTAAACCTGAAAATAATCGGGTCATTAACAATCACGATCACGTATTTCGGATTACCGGTCGATGCGTGTTTCCAAGACGCCGCGTTACCCAAAACTTTTCAACCTTTAAATCCTTCTCGAGCGCTCGAGTTTTCGTTAAGCTTGCAAAGTCTTCGCAAGACCAAGCTCTTTCGAAAAAACCTCTTCGAGTTTCGAGTCGATCGTGACGATAACGAACTCGAATCTCTCGTCGAATTTCTTTGATTTTTTTTTTTTTCTCGCCAAAGATCGCGTCAAAAGTTTGTCGAAAATTCGTTCGACGACGAAAGAAAATATGCATCGTGAGTTTTATCAGCGGCTACGTATCCTGCTCGAGAGAGAAATAAATGTGTATCGCGTAGATTCTCTTTTGATATTCTCTCGCGCTCTTCCTCCTCTCTCTTCCTCCCCCCTCTACCTCTGCGCGTTTTCTTTGACGATGGATCAAAGAGCCGTTTTACGCGCGCATACGTGCGCCGTTCTCAAAGAACGATGACGAACGTCCTTTTTGGCGTGCATTACAGTATGCATCGGCTTTGTCGATTCACAATACGTGCAAGTTGCGTGTTCGGGCACGGGGGAATGCCAATGCCGTGCGAGAGTGGCGAGACACGAAAAACGTGAGCATATATAGTGTGTGTGTGTGTATATATATATGTATACATATCTACTGAAAATTCGCCAACGTCGAGTCTTGGTCGGGGACAACGAGTAATATCGGAATGGAAGTTTAGGGGTTTTGAAAATATTTTTTCAGAATTATAAAATGGATGGATGGAAAGGCTCCCAAACAGGGTGGTAAATCGAATGGGAATGTTGGATCGCAAAAGTTAGGGAAGCAGAATGGAAAGTTTAATTGAAAGGAAAGGGCGTGCATCTCCATTCCTGCTCTCCATTTAAAAAAATTCAAATGCAAATTTCAAAGTTCTCGACAAAACGAACGAAAAAATTTACCCTCAATGCAATTTCCACTCTGATCTCTGTTAAAGGAATAAGCGTCCTTTACTTTAACCAGCATAATATCCTTAAAGCTTGATTTTCCTTTTCAGTGGGACAGTTCGGAATCCGAATATTCGGAGCCTGAGGAGTCAAATGAGTTAGGGGCCATCGTAAGCCCCGAGACCTGCGCGATGGACACTGTGGACAGTGCGAGCAAGCGGCAAGCTACTCGTGTCTTCAAAAAATCCAGCCTTAATGGAAAGATCACGGTATACCTTGGGAAAAGAGATTTCGTCGATCACATAACTCACGTCGATCCTATCGGTAAGACCCTCCACCGTACTAAGAATCTTCGAGCCGCTCCTTCATTACGGTGTCTACCTGTTGAATCTACCGTTCTTTCTCGCACGAACGCGTGTACTCGTATTCACGTTCGTAAACGCGTTTTTACTTTACCTCTTCAAGCGTAATCCGATTTGCTCCGATTATTATCGAGCGTAAAGCAATTGTCGCACGAGGACGGCGCAAGATTGGAAAATTCGATTTATTTAAACGAGCGGTTAATCTGGAACGTCAAGGCCAGTCAAGTCCATCTCTCACCGAATCGTTGCTGCTTCGATCGTTGCAGACGGGGTCGTGCTGATCGATCCGGACTACGCGAAGGATCGCAAGGTTTTCGGCCACGTGTTGGCCGCGTTCAAGTACGGGAGGGAGGACCTCGACGTTCTCGGGCTGACCTTTCGCAAGGATCTCTACTTGGCGGCCGAGCAAATCTATCCTGCGGTGCCTGGCGCCCAACAGAGGAAGCTGACGCGGTTGCAAGAGAAGCTGATCAAGAAATTGGGGAGCAACGCGTATCCTTTCTATTTCGAGTTACCGCCTCATTGCCCTGCGTCGGTCACGCTGCAGCCAGCGCCAGGCGACACCGGGAAACCGTGCGGCGTCGACTACGAATTAAAAGCGTTCGTAGGTGAGACGCAGGACGACAAACCGCAGAAACGGTACGAGCCACGATTATCGCGATCCCCCGGACGGGGGGAAACGTTCCGCGATCACGCGATCCACCCTCTCTCCACCCATGAAACATCGATTTTTCCACGGAATCGTCCACGCGCTCCTTTCCTTCCACCCTTTTCAACTGTGCCGCGTAAAATTTATCTTCTCCTATCGAAGCGTGGACGCGGAATATAGAATTTTCTAGAAACGTTCGATTTCTTTCGATGATCGAGAATGATCGTTAAATTTCTGATAAACAATAATAAATAATGGGTGCAGTCACAAGATATTTTCAATTATCGAAGGCAATTCGAACGCGGATGGTATCTCGATCGAATAATCCTCTCCAGATCGCGTGTTATGCTCTCGTATTAGACAGAACGTCGCAGCGTGGGTTAACGGTTCTCGATCCGGCCACTCACAAATCACCGTGTTGCAGAAACTCGGTGCGGCTCGCGATACGGAAGATCATGTACGCGCCCTCGAAGCAAGGCGAGCAGCCCTCCGTCGAGGTGAGCAAGGAATTCGTGATGTCGCCGAACAAGCTCCACCTGGAGGCGTCGTTGGACAAGGAGCTGTACCATCACGGGGAGAATATCGCTGTGAACGTGCACATAGCGAACAACAGCAACCGGACGGTGAAGAAGATCAAGGTGTCGGTGAGGCAATTCGCGGACATTTGTCTGTTCTCCACGGCGCAGTACAAGTGCACGGTGGCCGAGGCGGAGAGCGAGTGAGTATCGTTCGTCGCGTCCATTCTTCGCGAGCCGCGAAACGCGAAAGAGTGGCAACGAATGGATCCGTATTCGACGAAAAGTTGTGGCGCGAGATGGTGCACGCAACCGATTAAGTATCCGATTGCAACACGTTCTAGCGGGGCACGTGGAGAAATTTTAAACTCCGTCGAGATTTGTCCCTTGTTCGCTCGTATTTCGTTCCATACTTGGATCGAATTGTGGAATTATTAAGTTATGGATGTATTCGTTGCCAAACGAATTGCCCCGGAATCGAAGATAAACGCGAGTTTTTTATTTTGAGGAAATTTCGCAATTGGTAGAGGAAACGGAATCTCGTGTTTGGTCACGATTCATTCGACGTTTGACAGACCACTCGAACACGTTCTATATTTCGTGTTGTTCGATATCCTTAAATAGAACTGGCCTGTACACATACACACGTGTGTGTATAGGCCGGTGGATTACCGAGAAATTTACGAGTAACACATTCTGCGACGTGACCAGGCACCAGGTACTCAAGATCAATCGGGTCGGGCGCAGGAAGGCATAAATTAAAACGCGTCGCGATAAATTTCAATCCAACGCGGGAATTTACGTCTCATCTGATAATTCGTATCAACGACATCTTGTAATCTGCGCGTTCCTTATCGAACGAAGAAATACGAATTTCATTGGCGAGCATTCCATGCTCTAATTTCGCTTTTCGTCGATTATTTTACGATACAATTTATCTCACTCTTTTTTTTTTTATTGGAAAATTATTGGAAAATTGACTCGAACGCTTGCCTCTTTTTTTCTTTCTTTCTTTTTTTTTTTTTTCTTCTAACGTGACAATTGAGTAGAACTCGAGGTTAAAAAAAACGAAAGAAAGAAGATATGTCCCCCATTAGTACTAACGCTAGGTGCGTACGCGATGACGCGATAATCGGCGAAAGGAATGATAACGCAACGATACAGAAAATAAAATGATTGCACTGGCAGTATAGGGGTATCGCCAGGATTCACACTGAGCAAGGTCTTTTCTCTAAGGCCAACGCTTGCTGACAACAAAGACAAGCGAGGTCTTGCTCTAGACGGCCAACTTAAACACGAGGACACCAATCTCGCATCTAGCACAATGTGAGTGCTCAAACATTGGCGGCCGGCTATGTCATATTTTTCTTCGTGAGGCGAACGTTCGTACGACCGAAGACTGGAAACGGGCCAAATGATTCTGGAGAATTTTCTCGCGAGATTTTGCTCCGTTATTTGGATCGCGCATTATCGGTTGGGAGAAGTAACGGATAGCCCGAAATTCTTTCTTTCTTTTTTCACGTTGCTTTCTGGGATTCTTAATGGGGAGTATTCGCGTCCCTGTTTACAACGGACATCTCTTTTCAATTAGTTTCGATGCTAGATACAACTTTTAATAACTTTTGGTAACCGTTTCGATTATTCGACCGATCTAAGATATAAGGTATTAATTCTACAATCGCACGTCGAGATCTGTTTCGTGTTATGCAATGAAATTATTTTTATATAAAAAAGTTAAAAGAAGATTGCAATCTTCGGATATAAGTAAGGAAAACGAATATTCTATCGTAGTAACGAAAGAGGATCTGGATGCGCTGTTGCAGGATTGTTAATCGACAATCGGAATATATTAACTCGCATCGAAGCCTGTTTGCAGTCTTTGCGGACGATCGCATTGTTAAGAATCGAAATATATTGTATGGGAACACTATATCAAAGTGGAATGCCAGTATTTTTCTTCATCGCCTTTTTGCTGGGGAACTTTTATATGGATTTGGTATTCCATCGGTGGTGGTCTATTTTGCTGTACAGAGGACACCGTCCCTCTTTCTCTAACCCTCTCTCCCTCAACCTTTCGTTTTCACTTTATTTTCCGTTATCTCCACGTCTGTGTCTCTCCACAATTGATATGCTGATCGATCGAACCCTCATTCCCTCTCTACATTTTTCTCTCACTCTTTTTTTTCTTCTTCTTCCCTTCTTTCTTTCTTTCTTTCTTTATCGCTCTTTTTCTCTCTCTCTCCCCCTCCCCCCCTGTATTCTCCTATGTAGTCTGTATTGCAGTGTGACGCACAAGCTGAAGTTTTTCGCGTTTTTACACACACGGGGATACATATATATATATCGGCGGGTATATATCGTGAGGATCGTCACAGAAGCGCGTGTCACATAGCTTATTATCGTTGTCCTGTCCCCACGACGAGATTGAAGTCGATGCGTGCCTCTCGTGACCGAGCTTTCGAATTATGGGATCGTATAATATCGGTGCTCGCGGAGTGGCAGCTCTATATCGTTCCAACGATGCTACACGTCACTGGAGAGAGAGTCACGAGAGTCGTTTTTTGCGATATCCAAGTACGTCTCGATGTCCCGCACCGATTTTATCCCCCGCCCTCGCTATTTCCCATTTAAACGGTAATATGTACACAGTTTTACAGTTTCTCGTTTATTCCCGTCGATTATTTACAAGATCTGTTAGATCTGTCTCTTTTTTTCTTCTTTTTTTTTTTCTTCTTCTTCCTTTTCAGAAATAGGAATAACGTCGTATCGTACGTTCGATCATCATGCTCGATCATCGGCATGTTATTTTTCAAATAACTCAATTTCAAAGTAATTGTGCGCAACAATTGAAACGATTCGCGAGCAATCTGTCGCGGTGCACACGTCGAATCCAAATTTAAATTTCAAATGTAATTATTGCGCGTCACGATTCCAATGAATCGAACAGGAAGGAAGAAACGTGACTCACCGGGTTCTGACGGAATCTTTGATCGATTATTCCAGATTAGATAATAATAATAATATTCCTATCGAAACACGCCCGAAGCGCAAATAACAACTGATCGAACGCGAGACCAAGTTTTTATCAAGCTTTTTTACCACCGACGATAATCCATCCACCTCTCGAAATCGATAACATCGTTGTCGTCCACGCCATTCAATGGGACAAGTCAGTGTCTTTGACATCGGAAGAGAAACGAGAAACGCGAAGACCTATACCTAATCGCAGAAATTTAATTTCGCGTTAATTTTGGTTATATTTCGCCGATCGACCTCCTCGCCCTTATATATATACCGGAAATTCCGGATATATATTAGGCCTCCGGTGGCACGTTTACCTTCACTCTTCTGCCTATGGTGTTTATCAGGGAGGGGTGCCCGGTGGGGCCAGGTTTCACGCTGAGCAAAGTGTTCTCTCTGAAACCGCTTCTCGCCGACAACAAAGATAAATGGGGGCTTGCCCTCGATGGCCAGATCAAAGACGAGGACACCAATCTGGCGTCCAGCACCCTGTAAGAAAACCGCTGCTTGTCCATGGACAACACACGCCTGAATATATATATATATTCGTACATACATTATACATAATATATATATATAGGACTGTTCAAAAGTTTGGGTGACGAGACGATCATTGGAATTTCCCATTTTTTCGATAATTCGTTCATCGTTAGACTCGTCGTTTCGTTCGTCTCCATCGTTTTGACCGGCTTTTTCGATTCCTTTTTTTTTTTATTTTTTTTTCAGTTTTTCGCACACATTTCGTTGTCGACACATTTCGGTAGCTAGCTGGTTCACGTTCACGCTCGAATCCATCCTTAGATTCATTCTACCCAAACTTTTGATCGGTACTGAGTGTACGTGCCTCTGTTTCTCTCTCTTATCTCTCTTTCTTTTCTCTTTCTCTCTGTTTCTATGAGTATCAAAAAAGAGCTCGATCACGCGTGCGATCACGACTTCTCTATCGAGAACATCTTCGTTTCTCGATTCTCGATTAATTATTATTTAATTTTATATTTTATCGAGGAGGAATAACAAAGCGGAATTAAAAAAACCGATGCAAGATTTACCATTGTTCGTATTATCAAATCGCTTCTGCGACAGGCATGAAAGGGCTTGGATCCTTTTCTCTCTCTTTCTCTTTTCCTTTTTTTTTTGTATCTCAAATTGAACAGCTAGGCTGCGTTTCAAACTGTCGCGTTTTACCTTTCCCTTTGAAGCTCGCCCGACGTTACATTCGTCGCTGTTAATGTAAACCGTGTCTCTTATTTGTATTTGCACCCGTTCCGTGACCGTGACTACGGTTTAATGGTCTCGCCAATGTCTGGGGAGATGCCGATTAACTCGTGACAGCCCTCTTAAATGGAATATAATTAAAACATCGTGCATTTCTATCAATTTAACTCTTCTTTTTTCTTGTTCGAATAATTTTTAAAAATAGCTTTCACGAAATTATTCGAAATAAGTTTGCGAGCTTTTTTTTATCCTTAGAAAAAAAAAGTATTCGCGAGTCACGCCCTGAATTATTACTCGCGAAAGGAATTTCTCAAATTTCACGAATTTTATTTGCTCGATAATTTCGATTATTTTCCCATTTACATGAAAAACGCGTTGCTACCTGTTCGTTTCGTTCGCATCTCTTTCATCCCCGCTACACACGGAGACCAAGCGTTTTTCCTTCGTGTTCCGGATTGATTTGATCACCCTCCTTCTAAAGTAAAACTTACTATCGACTCGCCAGCCAAGCCCTGCCTTCCGTCTCATGCGAGTGCTTCGCAATCGTAACTCGCGTTTTTCCCGCGGAAACTTTTTCGATTCGCGAAAAGGAACAAATGCGATTTCTATTACTCTCGAAGAAAGGGAAGAAAGCTTCGAAAACGCGCTCCAGCTTTACCTAAATTTGAACGAATCTTTCTTCGTGCTTTTTTTTTCTTCCCCCTCCCCCGTTAAAAAAATGTTTCTTCGCGAGATTAATTCACAAATGATAAAGTGAACGAATACTGGAGAATCGTGGGCGTGAAAGAAGGAGAATCGTGTTCAAAGTGTGATCACGTTTCACATTGTTGCTTTCGATAAGACGAGGATAATTACACGCCCGATTACACAAACGATTGGTGATTCGGTGAATAATTGGAAAGGGGCGAGAGGAGAAGTCGTGAACAGCAACGTGCACGTTTCTCTTTGTCGTGTTTTTTTCGATGATTTTTCTCCTCACCTGTGGGGAAATGAGTTGGCTGATTGGCGATGTAGAGCGGACTTGTACCTTTAACGCACACACGGAACGCGGTATGAGATTTTTTTAGGCGTTGCGTTTTAGCTGCTGCTTCATTAGAGCATTCATAGTGCGTATTCTAGTGGGCAACACTAGATTTCGTCTAGTCAGTAAAAACAAGGAGGAGAATGTTGTAATCTTGATTGGATCGATCACGAGATGTAGATTCGACGAGAATTATTTCCAATTTAAAGCGCTAGATACACATTAGAGGATCGATTTTTTTTTTTTTTTGCTTCGTCGACACTGCTGCAAATCCCTTGACACACTTGATTCAAACTTGATGAAAACGGAATCGGAACGGTGCGGTGGAAGCTTTTCGAATAATTGAATTTAACGTTCTTGTTGTTGTTCTTCAAATAGTTTCGAATCCTTTTTTTTTCTTCTCTCTCTCTCTCTCAATTTGTGCGTACGAGGCGGACAGAATTTAATTTACACGATCCACCCACGTATTTGCACTTCCACTTCAACCGCACTATTCATATATCAAATATATCGTACCAATTCCAGACTTGTATGCAACTATGCTTTAAACAAAATCGATAAACCCCTTGTTCCCGCTTCTTTCTTGTCCGAATGCTCGCTGCTTTTGCACTTGTTGCTTCGAAACTGCTCGATACCGTTTTCAAAGCTTCCTTTTTTTGCGATTATCAAAAAATATATAACCCCTACATCCCCTTCCCACGATATTTCTCGCCTTTATCGTACCTTAGAATGTTCCTTAGAATGTTCGCTTCAACACTGTACTTTTTCCTCGCTTCTCCGTTCAATTCGTTGTTGTTCTGCCAATTATGCATGCTGGGCTTTGAATGTTCGATGATATATGAATAAACGCGATGGAAAAATCTACGAATTCCTCTCTCTTTCGCAGCGTGGTGGATCCCTCGCAACGCGAGAATCTCGGGATAATCGTCCAGTACAAAGTTAAAGTGAAGCTTTGCCTTGGAGCCCTGGGAGGGTGAGTTGAAACTTAGTGATTTACTTAATAGTTGATTCCTTTTTTTTTTTTTTTTTTTTTTTACACTTTCAATCTCTTTCGATTCGTCGACAATTGGTATCAATTTATATCGAATTAATTTGCGCAAAGTGTTGTACTCGAGCAAGCAGGAACGAAGGAGGAATTTAATTCACGTTGTTAACAGGGAATTAGTGGCGGAACTGCCGTTCATCCTGATGCATCCGAAACCGGAAGAAGAGGAACCAGCGCCTCCCACGGCACGGCCCAGCCCGACGCAAAAGACGGATAGCGAGATACCGCTTGACACAAATTTGATTCAATTGGACACGTACGTGATCGATGTTTAAGTAACGATTTCGAGCTACGTTCTCGAGCCGATCGATGGACATTTCGATAAATCATATCGTCGCATAATGCGGCCATCAATCTTCCTCTTCCGTTATCCCCTCGTATTATCGTATTGGATGTGAAAATTGATTGTTTTAAAGATTAAAACATTGTTTAAAATCATCGTAAAGAAATTTTAAATTCAAAGAAATTCAATAAGATGGAAATTAATTCGCACATCTTCCCACATTTAGAATTTCTGAAATTGTCCCTGTATTCGTTTCAGGGAGGCTGACGGCGACAACGACATCATTTTCGAGGACTTTGCCCGTCTCAGGTTGAAGGGCGAGACGGATGCCTGACTACGTGGATCAAACTCGATCGACCTGTTCGACGCAACCAAACGTAAGATCTTGCAGAACGGCGCGAGCCAGCTGATCCTTTAATTCGACGATCGTGTTATCTCGCTCGGGAAAAGAATTAAATATCGGTGATAACATAAGAACGTCGACTCTTCGCCGCACAAGGATCAAAGATCTTTCGTCATCGTTCGACGATTCGTTGGAACAACTGTATCTCCTTTTCTTTCGATGCTGGATGGAAAATCGTATTGGTCAAATTCATCGTAGACATCTGTTATACAACATGGGACAACACCTGGATGGAATGGTATTAATCGATCAATCGCACAGAGAGCCAATTAACGCGCACCTCGTTCAACTCGTCAGCGGAAGAACATTTTTGGATCGATCAAACGCGGGAGAAAGTATAAGAATGTCTTTACACGTTTTGACACGTTTATTACGGGAAAGGAAACGATTCAGGCATCGAAGATCGAACGCATCGTTGAAGAAGATGTCGGATAAAACGATATGTTTACCAATAACGAGATGGAGGAGTGCATCTTTTACTTTGGAGATGCGATTTTCGACGAGATTTAACTAGCATTAACGTGTTTTGTCTTATTTTAATCACATGGCCAGTATGCAGAATTCGTCCTGTCAGTCGAGCAGACGCGTTTTAAGCGTGCGTTTTTCATGCGAGAGTCTGAAAAAAATGTTCTTGTGAGAAAAAGAGACTGGTCGATTTCGTTTCGCAGAAAAGATTATTATTTTCGTTTCGTTTTCCTACTATTATCTAGTTTAATAAAAATCCTTTAAGTTGTTGAGTTAGTACGCGTTTTCCTTATTGAAATATTAAATTTGAGAAAGTTTTATCGCCCTTCCTTTAAATATCTTTTTCGTATTGTGTGAAACTTTAAATTTTGAGATTTGAACAACATTTATGAGAAATAATGATAATCATATAAGCTTTTCTTTTCTTTACATCGTGTATGCGTCTATACAAGATCGGATTGAATATACAGCCTTTTATCGTACAAACGACTTTTTTTTGCAGTGAAAAATTACGATCGAAACAGTACTACTTCTTGACAAACGTTAAAATTATCTCGCTTCAGTGGAAGATATGCATAGATAGTTTTGACTACAAAGATCATAAACCATCGAAATTTCGAAGATCTCAAAATGAATTCTGTCTGTTTTAACATATTGCTATTGAATCGTGATGAATGCGATCTTTGAACGAGCGTAAAACACAGTTTATATAAAGAATTGTACGATAATTGAAAATTCGAATTAAACAATAATCTATGTGAGATAATGTGTTACGTTGATCGCTAAATGTGTCTTTGTATTCGACGTTTATAATACGCGGTCAAAATGAGATTCAATGAGAATGTTTCTTTTCAAAGGATTAAGTGTATCGAAGTATGGAGTCGTTTTCCTTTCTGGATAGGCAAGAAAAATTCAACGAATCCTAATTAAACGTTACATATATATATATATAACAAAAAAAAAAACAAAGAATACATTATATATAGATAAATATGTATACACAGGAATACACGTATTGTACACACCTTGTATGCGAACTTTGCATCACACGCTTAACGATTTAAATCAATCGATGATTAAAGAAAAAAGGAAAAAAAAGAAAAAAAAAAAAGAAAAAAATAAGAAAAGAGAATTATGTAAAATTTCAGCAGTTTAGCTTTTACACGTTTATACCAACATGGAGAAAGTATTGGGTTTTTTGCAACACTGTTACTAATCGTACGATTTTTCTATTCCTTTTTTATGTATCACATTTTTTACCGAATGAAACATTCTAGTGCCATCTTGAATACACATTTTGGATTATCTAAAAAAATTCGTTTCTTTGCGAGCATACTTGAAATCGGTCCAATTCGTTACTTGCATCGTTTACTAAAGACTGTTTGCGAAAATTGAATCGATCTTGTAACACTTTGATGGGAATATCGATTCGAGAGAGTTTTTTCTACGACTCCTTTTACGACTTACGTTCACGATGAAACGGGAAAACGAGTCATGGATGAGAGTACAGTTAGTCGCATTAATATTTGGATCTTGTTTTATCCACGAATCTGTTATTTTACATTATATCGCTTATTGTATAATAAGAAAATATAGACTAGTTATTCCGTAAATTTATCTTACGATATATATTTTTTTTTCTCTCTCTCTAAAATTTGTAATTTTTATTTTGTAACTTCTAATCTAATCTTTTTAATAGAAGAATTTCTAGAAGCGTCTGAATATTAATGCAACTAATTCTACATCGATTAATTCCAAGCGTAATAAATTGAGAGAAAGGGATCGTCCCAGGTGTATGTGATTAAACGGTATGCCTTTAAGAGCGAGATATCGAGTATTTTCTAAATCAGCAGATCGTGATTATCAATGATCATCGATTGATTATCGTAATAGAATCCTTTGGATTAATCTCATCGATCTGCGATTTAGAAAACACCTTATAAATGTGTTGTATTAGCACGATTAGAAAAACTATTAATGCGTCCGCTGTCAATTAATTATTATTTTAAAATATCAACATCGATGACAATTTCACGAAGGGCACAGCGAGCGCGTTTAATTAAAGAGGCAAATTTGTGCGCAATTCGACGAGTGTCGAATTTTTCAAGTTAATGTTAATATTCTGTGTCTGTGGAAGGGAGGAGGGTATTATCGGTGGTTTAAAATTGAAGAGAACGAGATTACGAGCGAGCGAATTTTATTCATAGACGTCCATGAGATGAAAAGAAGAAGAGGAAGAAGAAGACGAGAGGGAAAAGGGAGGGAGGGGGGGGAGGGAATTTTTTTGTACAAGACGATCCTTCGTAATGTTCAATGGGGGATCGATCGCCACTTTTCCGCTGTAATAACGAATAAACAAAAGTCAATTGTACAACAAACGAACGAGTTGAAAAACCGAACTCGATCATTCTCTTCGATTTTAAACGACGAATTTTCGATTTTTTGGGCCAGGGCAAACGTTGATCGTGCTGTTGGCCGTTTAAATCGTTGCGCATGTATATATTACATATACGCAGGAGAAGTTAACGCGAGAGGAATAGTATTTTTTATCAATTTAGCATTTACAGAGTGTATTTAGGAGAGATTATCGATTATATATATATAATACCATATATATATATATATATACACCAAGCATCTCTCTCTCACTTCAATGTTTTCATAAGAAAGGAAGCTTTCAAGGGAGAATGGAGGAACAAGACGAACATAATTATTATTCTATAGTTATTAATCGAGCGAAACAATTGCATAAGTTACTGTAAATGTCGAGTTAATGTTTAAACTATTTAGATAAGTGGAAGAAACGGCTGTAAGTTTGGGGTCGTGTTTCTTAATCGTGATGATTTTTTTTTTTTTTAGAGGAAAAAAAAAAGAAAAAGAAATTGTATAAACTGTTTCGTGAGTGATTCATCACACTGAATTGCGCCACTGGATCGCCACTGGCCGTAAAGATTCAGACCTCAAACTTATGCGTACACACACACATACACACGCACGCAAACAAACAAACAAGTACACTTGTACACACGTATAGAGAAAAAGAGAGAAAAGATGAAGAAACGGCTTGTACAATACGCGCGAGAGTATATTTTATATTCGCACGCGCTGGTGCGCGCCAATATTTTTTGTAACATATTGAAAGGACAAAGAGAAAAATCGAATGGTCGATCGAATGGAATAGTTCGTACGTGATTAATACATAATAATTGACGTTTTGGAACGCGACGTAAGACGAGGGATAGAATATCGATACTGCACAAAACAAATTGCAACATTTACAAAAGAGTTGCTTCAGAGTCAATAATGGGTGCTGTTTTAAGGAAAGTCGACGTATCGTGTCGTCGTTTTCTTTTTTTTCAACGAGCGTCTAAAGTGTCGAGTTTCGATGTGTATTTTTGAAGAGGAACGAAAGAGCCCATTAGAAAAAAAAAAAAGCCTTATATTCAACCACGGATCGCGATTTTGTATCGAGTAATTCGTCGCTCTTTTCTTTCTCTCCTTTTTCGTCTCGAAACTACTCGTTGGTTGGAATAAATTGCAAAGATTACGAATCCATTTGAAAGTAAAACTCTCGAAGATATTTTGTGTAAGAGTAAACTGTTACCGACAGTTCAGTCTCTTAGCCAAGTGTCCAAGTTCTTCTTTTTCACGAGAGTGCAATTTTCTTACAAATTTTACTCTCAAATGAATCTTGTATGTTGTTATATTACAAATCATCGATACCCTGTCGATGTATATAATTAATAAGACACAGAAAGAAAGACGCGAGGTAAAATTGTACATTGAGTATATCGCGGGGGAGTGTAACGTGTAACGGTTATAGAATTACGCAGGGCATAATATAGTTAGCTAAGTTAGAAACAATTTAAAGTAAGAGGAATAATAATAATAATAATAATAATAATGATTATTATTAATAATAATAACAGTAATAATAATAATAATAATAATAAAAAAGAAACAAAAAAGAATCGTCCACGTTTATCGATTAATTAAAAAAGTGTATGTGTAATCGCAGTATTCTATTTTGTGCGTGTAACGATTGCAAATCAAGGTTGCAAACCTTCATTGAGATACACGGCACGGATTACAGTGGCGCGGATACGTCGTGTAAATTGCGTTTAACTTATTCATCAAAGACGAGCCGTTGCCGCTCGCTAAATTTCCCTGATGATATATTCGTTTTATATATTCAGAAATGAAACGCGAGAGGGAAAAGTGTCGAAAAAGTGTGTATAAAGATGAGAAATAGAAGAGGAAAGAGAAGATGGGGAGATGGGAGAAGAGAGAGTAAATAGCGAGATACGTAATATATTATAATGTACATGTAAAAATTGTGTATTCTCATATAATAATAGCTGTAATAATTTAATAAATCTTGTATATCGCAAGTGATCGCTTTTTCTTTTTTCTTCTTTTTCCTTTTGATACATTTCCCGCGCTTTAATCGTTTCAAACGAGTTGTCGAGCTTCTAACAAGATGAAAAGTTTTATGTTTGAAGTTGAAACTTTGATTTTGATGAAAGATAAACAGTATATAGTAATCTTGAAATCTTGGAATTCTTCCGTTTCACTTGAATCGTGAAACCGAACCGTTCTTTTTTAATTTACCGAGAGTTAATTAAGCTTGCTCCGAATTTTAGCTCCCTTAAATCTCGACCAAGTATTCAAATAAAACTGTGCGGAGGTCGGCATGTTTGAAAATTTGTGGATTCGAAAGTCTGAATTGAAAGCTGGTAAACTCGATGCATCTGTTTGAACTGAACTGAAGGATTCATCCCTCGCAAGGGTTTCGAATAAGAAAGAAAAATATGCTACGAGGGAGAAAAAGAAAAAAGAAATAAGAATGGAAAATTTATGGCCTCTAAATAAGACGGGGATGCAAAAAATTGTACAATTCATCTGGTAAAAAGAGTTCATGGATTATTTCTTTTTTAATTGTAGAACAATTCCACGCTTTCAGGAGCAAAATTGTAAAGATTTATTATTATTAGTATGGAAAAAAGGAGAAATTTTTTTCTGATTAAAAAAACGTTCCCTTATTACGATTGAGGCCTCCGGTTTTTTTTTCTTTTTTTTTTTAATGAAAAAAATACAATCATTCTAATTTCCTGTACGAAAGAAAATTTAGGAGGATAATAGCAATCACGATAAGAAGTGATTCAAATGAAGAAGCAGGATAAATTTTTCTTAAAAGTTTACGTGAAAGGATTAAATTTCATTTAATTTTCCTGTGAAATTTTTCGCGATAATCCATTATTTTTCCATAAAAATGAATCGAAACGATGATAAATTAATACAAAAAATAAGTTTGAATTAAAAAAAACATGTTTCGATTCTTTTCTTTTAGTAATGCCTTTTATTCGAGTATTTCTGCTTGAACTTTCGATCTTAAAATAAAAAAAGAAAAAAAAGAAAGGGAAGGAAAGAAATCTTTGAAACTTGTCTCACAGAAGTTTGGACAGTTTCAATTACATCGGGAGGCGCGGGATGGACGTTCGTGTTTCGTTTCAGATTAACTACGGAAGTTTTCAAGTTTGACGGAAAACGAGCACGATAATTCCACGGTGGATGGATTAGAATGATCCTTTTTCACTCGGCTGTATCGAGATTCGATTCCGTTTTGTTTAACGTTCGCGTGGAATTCGAATTCGAGAAACGTGGTGGCGTGGCCGGAGGTGCACGCAGTTTTGCGTGTCGTGTATTTTTAAAAACAAACACGATCAACGAGGGAAATGCATCCTTCTTGTTGCAATATAATTTTCCAATTTATAAATTGAACGCGTTCACGAATTCGATTAACAGAGTGGAATATGAAAAAAAAAAAAAAAAAAAAAAAAAAAAAATTAAGTTTAAATCTCTGGGTTTGTTGTTTGTCATATAAAAATATGTATTAATTTTTTATACATATAGTATATATTATATCGCGTTTTCGTTTTATTTATTTATTCATCATGATTTTTATTCGAAATATTTTAAAACTGTTCAAATAACGGATAAAAATTTCCTCTTTTATAATAAAATATAAAGTTTCCGAATGTGTACGCAATTTTTATATTATTTAAGAGATTTGAAAACAAAAATATATCATCCTCTTAAATTTTAAAAGCATATTTAATTCGTGGTAAAATTTTAATATAAGCGATACAGAAGAATATCATATCATTGTATCATATTGGGATTGATATATTCAAAAATAATATATTACAATCATTCTTCCATTTGCTGTTTCATTTTATTGCACCAGTTAAAATTCTTCGATTAAACATTTATCCCATGTTGAAACGGTAAAAAAGAATTTCGAGGATTTAAGTTCGTTTCCTAAAGAAAAAAAAAAAAGATAGAGACAGGAACTTTTACAACCATACACTTTGTAACGTATATACATGTATACGATATAATTATCAATGAAAGGATTAATATGAAAAATTATTGATGCGAATAATGAGTTGTGTTTCAATCGAAACGCATTCGAATTCTAGCAGGGATTTATTTTCACGTTTAATAAAGCTCGAATGCCAAATCTTTGCGCTTGTTATTTTCAAGAAAGTCGAGATCGATGGATCATTCGTAGTCATTCAATGATTATATTTTTTTTATCATCGTATAGAAACAATATGTTAATACGAAATGATATTTAATATGAAGTCGAAAATGGAAAATAGATTCTTGTATCAACATCGTGCATCAACGTTTGTATTCTTTTCATTTCGAAAAGTCGATTTTGAAAAGATGTTAAGAAAACGAGGAAACATTTGCGAGGAAAAGAAAGATCGAGATAAAGAGAACGATTAAATAGAAAACAAAGACTCTTTAGTTGAGAAAAATTTGTTAACAAGTGTGTCATGCATATATAAAAAAAGAAAAAAAAACGATCACCAAGTGAAATCGTCTATTAAAATACAACCTGAATTTGTGAATTACCATTATTTTTAATTGAAATTATTTCTATTAATAAAATTTT